GGTGTTGGTCTTTATGTTCTGTGATTTCTGTGTTTGCCTTTCCTTCAGTCTTTCCGCTTTTTTCTTCCTTTTTGTCTGTCTCTCTGGAACCATTTCTGGGACCCTGTCTTGCCACCTTCCTCGATGGTTGTGTACATCCTGATTCTCCTTGTAGTGTCTGCATCTTGGTCCTTCTCTGTGTCCCCCATCTTTTGCTTTCTTCTCTTCGTCTCTTCTTTCCTATTTTTATTCCAAACTCCATGTTCCTTATCTTTGCTAAGACATACCTTCCTAGGTCTTGGTCTTCCCTTGCCCTATTCTGGGTTCCCAGCTTATCCAGCCTGTGGGTGCCCTTGCCCACAGATCATCCAGCTGACTCCGGTGCCTGTGAGCACACCCAGCGGCCTGGTGCCGCCCCTCAGCCCAGCCACGCTCCCTGGACCCACCTCTCAGCCTCAAAAGGTCCTGCTGCCCTCTTCTACCAGGTAATGGCCAGTGAGCCCTCACCCAGAGGCCAGCCCAGGGAAGGAGTTGGGTGGGGCAGGCTCGCCTCACTCCTCCCCTTCCTCTCCCTGCCGCAGAATCACCTATGTGCAGTCAGCGGGTGGGCACGCGCTGCCCCTGGGCACCAGCCCTGCATCCAGCCAGGCTGGAACGGTCACCTCATACGGGCCCACAAGCTCAGTTGCCCTAGGCTTCACCTCGCTGGGGCCCAGTGGCCCCGCCTTTGTGCAGCCCCTGCTTTCAGGTGAGGGGTGACCTGGCAGGCTGAGCTGGGGACCCAGGGTTGGGCCAAGGCAGCTGAGACCCTGACTTGGCCCCTACCTCTCCTTTTTCCCTCTTCACAGGCCAAGCGCCACTGCTGGCTCCTGGCCAGGTGGGCATGTCACCAGTGCCGAGCCCCCAGCTGCCTCCCACCTGCGGAGCCCCTGGAGGTCCCGTCATCACAGCATTTTACCCTGGCAGCCCTGCTCCCACTTCCTCAGCACCCCTGGGCCAGCCATCCCAGGCACCCCCAGGCCTGGTCTATACTGTGGCCTCCAGCACAACCCCACCTGCTGCTACCATCCTACCCAAGGGCCCATCAGCCCCAGCCACTGCCACCCCAGCCCCTACCAGCCCTTTCCCCAGTGCCACAGGTGGGTGTCGGGCCAACCCAGGGTGGGATGAGTTGGGTGACTCAGGAGGTGGGCTCCAGTCAGGCCTGGCTCAGCCAATGCTCTTTTCCCCACCAGCAGGTTCCATGACCTACAGCCTAGTGGCCCCCAAGGCCCAGCGGCCCATACCCAAGGCCCCCCAGAAAGTGAAGGCAGCCATCGCCAGCATTCCCGTGGGTTCCTTTGAGGCAGGTGCCCCAGGGCGGCCAGGCCCTGCACCCCGGCAGCCTTTGGAGCCTGGCGCAGCCCGTGAGCCCCCTGCCCCCGAGTCTGAGCTTGAGGGGCAGCCTACGACACCAGCCCCCCCACCGCCCCCAGACACCTGGGTTCCAACAGCCCGGAGCAGCCCCCCGCCGCCCCTGCCTGCTGAGGAGCGGACCAGCACCAAGGGCCCTGAGACCATGGTGAGTGCTCAGCAGGCCTGGGGGCTCCTGCTGCTGTTTGGTTCTGCCCCTCAGTCCACTGTCTGCCTTTCTGTCCTGCCCCTCTTCCCTGCATGCCTGTCTGGATGTGCCCTTGTTGGGAGGGGGATCACTTCTGTCCCTCCTGCTCACTTGTATGACTGGGCCTTTTCCAAGGCTCTGCAGCTTGGGTGGCCCGCATCCATCTCTTTGTGTTTCTGGGTTTTGCCCCAGTAAGTCTGAACCAGTGTTCTCCATCTCTTCACTGTCCCCACCACAGGCTAGCAAATTCCCCAGCTCATCTTCAGACTGGCGAGTTCCTGGGCTGGGCCTAGAGAGCCGGGGGGAGCCTCCCACCCCCCCCAGCCCAGCCCCAGCCCCAGCCCCTGGCAGTGGTGGTGGCAGTGAGGGCAGTAGCAGCAGAGCAGCCGGGGACACCCCCGAGCGCAAGGAGGCAGTTGGTACCGGAAAGAAGGTGAAGGTGCGGCCCCCGCCCCTGAAGAAGACCTTTGACTCTGTGGACAAGTGAGCACAGGCTGGGATTTGTGGCGGAGTGTGTGGGGTTGGTGGGAGATGGGGCAGTGCAGGCTGGGACAGGGGAAGTGACTCTGCCAGCCCTCCAGCAGGGTCCTGTCGGAGGTGGACTTTGAAGAGCGCTTTGCAGAGCTGCCTGAGTTCCGGCCTGAGGAGGTGCTGCCCTCGCCTACCCTGCAGTCTTTGGCCACTTCGCCCCGGGCCATCCTGGGCTCCTACCGCAAGAAGAGGAAGAACTCCACCGGTAGGCAAGCGTGGGGCCCTGAGGCAGGAGGGGGATAGACTGGGACTGACTACTGAGCCTGCTTCTGTTGGGCCAGACCTGGACTCTGCCCCCGAGGATCCCACCTCACCCAAGCGCAAGATGAGGAGACGCTCCAGCTGCAGCTCGGAGCCCAACACCCCCAAGAGTGCCAAGTGCGAGGGGGACATCTTCACTTTTGACCGCACAGGTGCTGTTGTGGTGGGCGGAGCTGGGGGGCCCCAGGGCTTGTAAGAGGGGTGGGGTCTCAGGAACAGGTTAGAGATGGGAGAGGTGGGGTAGGTGGTGCTGAAAAGGACAGTGGGTGAAGGGCAGGTTCTAGAGTCCCAACAGGCCCCAACATTGCTGGGTAACCTTAGATGAGTCCCCTCTCTCAACCCTGTGAGAGCTGGGGCAGAGGGGCAGGGTATGCAGCAGCCTTGACTATGCCCCCTACGCTGCTCCCAGGTACAGAAGCTGAGGATGTGCTCGGGGAGCTGGAATATGAGAAGGTGCCATACTCGTCACTGAGGCGCACCCTGGACCAGCGCCGGGCCCTGGTCATGCAGCTGTTCCAGGACCATGGCTTCTTCCCGTCAGGTGGGCACATCTCAGAGTATTAGGGGGCACTTGGAGGAGATCTGCCAGCTTATCTCACCCTGCCCTCCCCATCCCCCACCATCCACTTCTGTTCCCAGCCCAGGCCACAGCAGCTTTCCAGGCCCGCTACGCAGACATCTTCCCTTCCAAGGTCTGTCTGCAGTTGAAGATCCGTGAGGTGCGCCAGAAGATCATGCAGGCAGCCACTCCCACAGAGCAGCCCCCGGGAGCTGAGGCCCCCCTCTCTGGACCGCTCCCCACTGGCACCACTGCTGCCTCTGTCCCCACTCCCAGCCCTGCTGGGGGCCCTGACCCCACCTCACCTGGCTCGGACTCTGGCACGGCCCCGGCTGCCCTGCCACTGCCTCCACCCCCAGAACCAGGACCTGGACAGCCTGGCTGGGAGGGGCCCCCCCAGCCCTCTCCTCCACCCACTGGCCCCTCCACAGCTGCCACAGGCAGGTGAAGAGCCTGTGAGAAAATCCCAGGACCCACAGTACCCCTCCTCAGGTCATGGACAGTATGCAGGTGGCAGGAATTGGGGGCAGGATGGTTACCTCCTCTCCAGTAAAGCCATTTCGTCCTTTCTAGTTTGGGGCGGAATGAGACCTGCTCCTCTTGTCTCCCTCTCCTACCCCCACAGTTCCCTCCCTTTGATGGGGGACAGCTAAGGGGAAGCAGGGGACAGTCTCCCTCCACCAAGCCCCTGTACATAACCTGGAGTGTGTTACCTTCGGACCTTTTCACTTGGACTTTATGCAAAATGGCTCCTGTGAGGGCTGCAAGCTGGAGGGTAGTGTGGGCGTGGGCCTTCGGCCACAGGAAGATGCCTGTGGAGTTAAGGGGAGTTCATGCACCCCTTTTTTCCCCAGAGGGGCTGGACTCAGGTTAGTTTGGGGGTGGGGGCTCCTGCACTTTGCCACAGGCATGGGGAGGGTTCTTTCCCCACCCCCTCTGCCCTCCCAACTTGGGTTGTACTTTCTAAGAAGGTGATTTCCCCCTTCCCTGTCCCCATCCCCAGAACAAAACATGTTGATCATGTGCAATATTTCTTACTGTGCTGAGAAGCCGAAATGACCGAGATTAAAGCTGTTTAACACACCTGTGTGGCTGCCCACTCTTAAAAGGAGAGGTGTGGGTACCAGTCCTATCTTCAGATGGAACTACACTTTCCTCCCACTGGGTGAGGGAAGCAAATCCAGGGCCAGCACCTCCCCATCAGAGGGACCCTTTGGGCCAGCATTCCTGACTTGCTGTGGACTAGAGGTGCTGTTTCTCCAGTCGTGGTGTTGTGGAGTCATGATGCCTGCTCTGCCCCTTTCACAGCCATCCAGTGTGCATGGGCTTGGGGAGGGCCTGAGATGTGAGGCTGCAAGACGGGCAGTTCACCCTTGAAGTTCCAGTTGGACCTGAGACATCTGAGCCCAGAGGTGGCACTGGGCCAGGAGGCCAGTCTGCCCAGAGTACTGAGTTGTTCTTGGTCCCCCCTGCTGCCCCCACATGGCCTGAGCCAGCACTGCATCCAGGCCAACAGGAGCCTCTCCTGGGGAAACCACTCTCAGCTTGTGGACAGTGCTCCTCTGGGGATACAGATACCCATACCCTTGTGGAGGGATGGCTGCTGGATGGGGGAGGGTCAGGAAGATTCCACAGGAAGTGGTATCTAAGCTAGGACCAGAGCACCAGAAGTTCCAGCCAAGTAAAGAGCATAGGCAGGGATTGGAGAGCAGCTTCAGGTGGGTTGTGATGGTGCTGGGTCACTATGTTAAAGAATTCTTGCTTAACCTTGGTCCCATAAGGCAGGAGGGCAAAATGGCTCCAACTAGTGTGTACTGATGGGTAGAAATTCACCTGACTGCAAGACCCAGAGTGCCTTGATGGATTTGCAGTGCCTGCCTTAGGCAGAAACGACACCCTGCAGAGCTGCACAGTCATAGAGAGGGCTGAGGTTGAGGCACCTGGATAGGCTTGGCCATAAAGCAGGAAACAGGAGACCAAGGAATGAGAATTTAATGTTGCAGGAAGGAGGGTGCTTAGGGTGTGTTGTTTGGCTGGGGGATACCCTGGCCCTGGTCTTGAGCCAGCAGACGCAGAAGCAGGGAGTGCAGGGCACGGCAGACAGGTGTGTAGCCCAGGCGGCTCAGATGGAGATAATCATACATGTCATGGTGGCTTATGGTACCATCTGAGTGCACAAAGCCAGGGTCAGCATCCAGGAAGTGGGCCCGTGGGTGGCCAGCCAATGCTGCCCGTACTAGCTCATTCACCTGTCGGTTTTTCTCACGAAGTGGATTAGGGTGCTGGCCCCTTGGAAGCAGGCCCTGAGGAAGGGTACCAAGGGTTGTTAGGAGACATCCTACCAGCATCTTGGTATCCTGTTCTTCGTACCAAACCATTCTCAACTCCCCACCATGAAGTCCCCAGCTGCAAAATACACAGGATGGGAATGGGGGCTTGGAAGAGTAGTTTCTGATACCATGTCAGACCCCATCAGCAAGAACCTTCTGGGTGCCAGTGTCTTTCCAAGTATTACTCATAAAAATGATGACAAAGCACGGGGTCAATCCCTCAGAAGAGGAAATGTCCCAGCCAGCAGGGATGAAGCTTAAATTCACCCTGGGAATGCCTGACAACTTCTGGCTGTGTGTTTTGAATTTTTCAACACTCCAACAATCTCAAGTCCATTGGGTAAAAGGGACTAACTGGTCCCTGAACATGACCTTACCACAGATGCTCTAATAGGCATTGTGAGTGTCAATGTGAGATTTCACCTAAAGCCACTGCTGTATGCCAAGCTTCCCAGAACTATGCCAGCTGTGGTTACACCTGAGGGGGTCCCAGACCACTGCCATTTTCCATTCTAAACCCTCCCACCCTCTCACCAGCACCACGACTCGGGCCTGGGGCTGCCGCTGGTTCACCAGTTGTACGATAGCCTTGATGCCGCCAGTCACCTGCTCTGCTGTGTGCCCATGGTTGTTGGTACCCACCCAGACTACCACAATCTGTGGAAAAAGAGGCATGTAGCAGTGGTAAGGGAGTAGGCTAAAGGTGTTTTAGCTGCCCAACCAAGGTCTGCTCACCTTGGGCCGGATGTGTTCCAGCTCTCCATTCTCTAGCCGCCACAGCACATGCTGTGTGCTGTCACTACCAATGCCGAAGTTAAGTGCATGCAGAGGAGAAAAGAGCTCCCGCCATATCTGTAGGCAAGAAGTGATGTGGTCACAAGGGCATAGTCAGGGTGGACCACCACCCTCTGTCCAAGTTAACCAAATGTTATCATGTAAGAGCCTTGCTTTATGGATGTAGTCTGGTCAAATCTCAGAGCACACCCCAAAACAGTCAAATCTCACTTTATTCAAAGGTATTATAGTCTCACTTTTCACCAAACCCCGTAGAAGCAAGACTTGCTTTAGGGCAACCCATTCTGATTAAGACATGCATTGAACCAATAGCATTACAGCCGACCCTCACTTTGAAGATTCCATTCCAGTTTAACTTCGCTCAGTGGAAAGACACTATCCTTGAGCCCTCTTTATGGGAAGCTTATTACAGTTGACCTTGACTTCACAGCAACTATAGCTCTGTGGAAATTCATTAGGGCTATGCACTACTTTAAACAAGAGTCTCACCTTAATTAGTCTTCTTGGAGGAAAGCCTCATTTTAAGTCTCATTATACACAAACCCAATCTGACAAAGCCAGGGTACACACTACCTTCTCAGTAGAATGTTGCACCTCACACGGACATTCTGGGTGCCAGTGGCTACCTGAGGGTACCCGCCTGGCCTGGGCTCTGGTCCAGGTATTTCAGTGAGGGCAGAGGCCTGGGTGGGGCAGGAGGTGGGGGACTGGCCTCACCTCACACTGGTGCATTAGCTGGACCAAGGAGTCCCCGATGAAGACGACTTCGGGTTCCTTATCTTTGCTGTCGGCCACGAACCGATGGTGCTTCGGGGATACACAAGGGGGAATCAGTAGCACTGAGCGCTCCTGGGCCCGCCCTGCCCCGCTTCCATAGGCAGCACCACAATTGCCCTCAGTTTCCCAATTACGCAGAGAAAGCGGCGCGAACCAGCTGCTCTCTTGAGGCCCCTCCCGGACTCCTGAGTATCGCTGGCGGGGTCTCTCACCAGGGACATCCAGCGCCCGTCGCCCTGCACGTCCTGCACCGGCGTGGGCTTACTGGCAGGGTTCTCCTCTCCGCTCATCTTGGCACTGCAGCTCCTGCAAGAGGGGCGAGCGAGGTCGGCCCGGGAATGTTCCCGAAAATGTGGCTGCACCACGCCCACCCGCAACCCTCCAGGCGACAAAGGACGGTCCCAACGCCCGAACTCCAGCGGACTACAACGGCTGATCCCGGGAGCGGAAACCTTCACTTAGGCGGGGAGGTGGAATTGGGAACCCTTGCTTCCCCCACGGCGGCCGCGCAGTGGGCTCGTCCGGCGCTTCCCGCCCGGGCCACCCGCATTCCGGCCGCGGTGGCAACTAGCGCACCCTGGCACCGGTGGGTGAGGAAGGCGAAACCATCCAGCACCCGTGGGGGGCGGAGGGAGAAACCACCCCACCGACGTCACAGGAGCGGCGAACTACCTGAAAGGCCGAGGGTGGGCGGGGAAAATCTAGTGCCTTTTCTCGAGGGAAGGAACCATTTGCTGCGGAGCGAACGAAGTGCGGAAGGGACCACCTACTGGGGGGTGAATGCGTCCCATTCACGTGGTGGTGGGGGAGGGGAGTGAGTAGACGAGTCCATTCTTCGATCCCTTGGTGGGGGGTTAGGTCGCACGTACCTGGCTAGGAAGGGACGCTCCCATTTTTTTACTAACGTGGGGGAGAGAAAAGGAAGATGGCAAAATAAAATTAGAGGTTCTGTTCTGAGGACACTCAGTCTGCGCCACAACTTCAGTTAGCCTGTCTGTTCCTCTACTCAAAAACACTAGTTTTTGTGGCATAAAATGTAAACTACGTATCTCTGCATTACAGACATCACCGGCCCTGAAAGGAGAGGTGTAGAAAGAGGAAATTAGAGACGCTGTAAGGACCGGGTACAGCCTGGCGCCCCTCCCGCGCAGCTCATCTTGCTCTCCGTGGCCTGTGCCTCCCTCCCTAAACCACAGCCGACCAACAACCTCAGTTGAAGGTGTGTGGGCTCTGAAATCTGCATTCACAGCTAAGGCCACCTAAGGTCGTCCCTCACCACTCTCCGCCCTAAATCAATCTCAGACCTCAAGTCTTTCCAGATCTCACTCCTCTTGAGGATCAGATGTGGGGAGTCCCATAACCCCCCCCAGAACCTCCTGGTCATATTCCTGTAGCTCCACTCCCAGATGAGACCTCCCTATCTAGTCATTCCTTCTAGTCAGGTTGATACTGAACTATAGAGATAAGTCTTATTTATTTTTATGTTTTGCCTCAACCCACTTGCCGGAACAGGGCCTGACACATAGTACCACTGTGGCTGCTCACAAGTATTTGCTGAATGAATATTAAATGAATTTAAAGGCGTCAGATCCTGCCTTTGTCCCAGTGTGTTGGGGGAGACAGATTCAGTTACAGAGCTGAGGGAAGGATCAAGGTTGTGATTAAGGTAGGTACAGGGAATCTCCCTGGGGGGGAAGAGGAAAAGGACCCTGAGGGGGGGAAGTTTCCTAAGATTAGTATATGAGTTAGGCTTTGAAAGATCATGAAGATTGGGCAAACAATATTATACAGGTAATGCGGATTATGGCATGGGGAATAACCTGGTTAGCTCAATTTTAACGTCTGAGGGGACAGTGTAGATTAGTTGGAGAGGGAAAGTTCCTGAAGCAAAGTTTAAGGAGAAAGCTTTGATGCTTCATTCACCAAGCAATGTTTCAAATTAGATATATCAGCTCACTTCATACACCAAAGCAACCATATAAAGCAAGTTGTTACTATTACCAACTCCATTTTACACATTGGGAAACAGGCTCTAAAAGTTACACACTTTTCCAAGATCACGCAGCTCAAATGTGGTAGTTTAGGTGTTTGAGCCTAGGTAGTCTAATTCCAGAGCTCTAAGGACGGCACTATACTGGTTTCTAAGGTTGAAGTCTGTGACAGCCTTTGACCAGCTGTGCTTGGGAACTATCAACCGGCCCGAAGGCTCCTTGAGCCTCGTCTCGCCGAGAGCTTTGGACAGAAAGTCCGGAGATAGGCGTCCGAACCAATCATCATTGAGGAAGGGGGCGGGCCTAGAGGCCCTCACAGCCAATTGGTAGGTGTAAGGTACCTAAGAACAAATGAGAGAAGCTTCGAAAGTGAGGCTGAGGGGGGCAAGGCTATAACTGGCACTTTGGGCCTCGTGTCTCGCGATCAGTGAAGCAGAAGGGTGTGGGAGGGGCATGCGCATGCGTGTAGTGTGCACGCGGCCCAGCGTGAGGCCCAGAAGAGCGCCACGCGGAGCGTGAGCTGGCGTCACTGTGGAAAAGAAGCCACTGTACTCCACAGCCACGTGGGGTGGGTGGGGACTGGGTTCGTTGGGGCAGGAGAAGGTGAAGTTCCCGTGCCCGCCCTGCCCCCACTAACCATACCGCCCCCTTCCCAACCTCAACTGCCCCACCCTTACCTTGTCTCCTACCCTGGCCCCTCATCCTCCAGTGACCAGGCCCCAGTCCTTGATAGCTGCTGTTGCCCTTTCTGACATCCTGAGGTTTTCTCTGTTTCCCCAGCTTCTCTTCTGCTGTCTGCCTCCTGCCTTGTTGCCTTGTCTCTCTACTTACGCATTCTCCAGTACCTTCGCTGAGACTACTGTATCCAAAATCCTTTTCTGGTTTACCAGATCCCTCCTGTCTCATGACCCCTTCCCCATCCTTAATCTTTTAACTATTTGCTCATGTCCTGGTTCCCTGTAACCCTTTCTGTATTCCTTGATAAATCTTCACATTTACCATGACTCCCTTGACCCCATCTTACCTCTATGATCCCTTCTCTGACCAAATACTTTTCAATTACTCTCTGCCCATTCCATTTCTCTCATTTTTTCTTTCTAAATAGTATTTTTACCTCACCCCAAACCACCTCTTCTTATTACTCACTTTTAGGTCCCTGATTTGTCTGCATGCTGATGACCACCTTATCTTATTTTCCAGGATTCCATGGACCCCCAGGGGCCAGACCCACAGCCTTTCCAGCGGTCTGAGAACCCTGGTCGTGTGCGCCGTCGGAAAACCAGACGGGAGCGTAATGAGGCCCTGGTGGGCAGCCGTCGGCCATTGGTCCGTCAGGATCCTCCCATGGCCCTCCGGGATCCTATGGCCCCTACTGCTCCCAAGCTTGTGGTCATAACTCAGGGCCGGCTGAGTCGGGAACACAGGGGCCTCTTCAACCATGAGGTGAAATCTCTGGATGTGTCACGGCTGCTTAGCAGTGGTTCCCTGGAACCAGGCACCCCTGCACTCCCTGCCAAGTCCTCCCCAAGCCCAGGCTGGGCCCACAAACCAGCCTCACAGTCAATGGGCAAGGAAAACCAGGTGCCTGGAGGCTCGGGCCCAGGCCCACCCAGTCCTCCAGAGCTCCCTAGCCTGGGGCAGTTGCTGGGGGAGCTGCAGTGCCAGCTGATTCTGCCACAGGCCTTCCCACGGAGGAACCTAGTGCAAGAGGCCAGGGATGCCATTCTGGGCACCTTACAGGCCTGTCATGGCTGTGTGCCTGACCTTACCCTGGTGCTCCGTGTCTGCTGCTCACCCTTACCAGGTGAGCCCACTTCCTGCCCACTGTGTTCCCCTTTCCTTTGTGTGCTTTGCTTAGCTTCTTTTCTGTGCCAGGGACCAAGCCTGGGGGCCCTGAGAGACAAAGGATGACACCTTCCTGGATCAACAGCCCTGTGCAAGCCCCAGGAGAGGAGAGGCCAAGGAGGAGACAAGCTACAAAAGAGCTCACCTTTGCCGTGCCTCATGCCTGCAGCACTCCCCCTGTGCACAGGGTGAGCCTGGAACCACCAAAAGGTCCCCAGCCACCCCCCTTGCCCAAGTTGCCTTCGCCGTCCAGGACACCCTGGGGCCCCCCAACAGCCTTTGACCTGCTGAAAAGCATCTGGCTGGTATCCACACCGCCACCCCCACCCCGGCCCTGGGGAGTTGGCCCACAACCACTTCTACCTCAGCTGCCATCACCCTTGTTGCCCAGAACCTCTCTCCTGGACTGGAGTCCTAGCCCCCTTGCCCCACTGCCCAGTCTCTCCTGGGTGGTGGCCCAGAGCAGCCCAGAGGCTTGGTCCTTTCCACCTATGAGACTATACTGAGGTTGCTGAGGCCCAGTTGGGGGCAGGAATCCCACATTCCTAATCATCTCAATAAAGTACTTTCTTCGCAGTACTCTTGGTTTTTTGGTGAGTGACCTAGGAGATCAGCTTTCCTTAGCTCTAGGTTCTGGGTCCAGGACGGAGGGGAAGTTGCCATCACGTATCACCTTCCTGAGTCCTGAGGGGCCTGCAGGCTGGGGAAACCTGGGGCTTCAGTCAGTTCAACATATCTACCCACTGAAGCCAACTATGTGCCTGACTCTGAGCTCTGGCAGTACTGGGGTCCCAGACTGAGTCAGACTAAGGCTATATCTCCAGGAGGTTTCCAGTTCAGTGGTTGTGTCTGGTAGGGAGAGGTGCAAGGGCTGGGGGAGTCGAAGGAGGGAGTAATAATAATTCTGCCCCAGTGAGGGAGAAGTCCTCAAAAAGGACCTTACTTCCTCATGTAATTGTAGATTAATGATACCAAAAAAAAAAAGATAAG